AATGAGCCGACATGAAGCGCGTACCATAAGCGCACTTCAGCAAGGCCGCCATCCCGACATCGCCGAGCACGCTGCAGTACACGACGGCCAGTCTCACCCGGCTGAGCGGAGACCGGCGGCTCGGCGGCCGATGGCGCGCTGACGTCACACAGGCGGATGACGTCAGCCGAGACGAGCAGCAGCTGAGAGACGGCCGGGCGACGCCGCTCCAGGGCGGCGCTGAGGCGCGCCTCGAGCTCTGCCAGTTCGGGCCGGCCCTGCAGCGACACCATCAGCACGCGCAGCGCCCGTCGCGTGCTGCTCGCAGGCGTCCTGGAGGCGAGCCGGCGCCGCGTCAGCCTCCTCACCAACAGACTGATCAACTGGGGCTTAATGTTTCAAGAGTTCGACTGCTTGCTGTTCGTTTCGGTAAGTCTGTTAATGGCAAGATGCAGTAGTACCAACGGCGGAAAGGCGCGCTAAAACGGTCAGCGCTTTACCTCGAACGCCGACCACTATTTGTTTGATTCTCGACCAGCAGGCCAAACACCGAGCAAGGCTATAAATCCAAATGTTGCGGCTCCAACGCTCGAGACCACTGCACCAGACAAGCCACACATCAGTCCACATCGCCCGGACGCCTGTGGACATTGCGGTGAAGCTGACAAGGTATGCGTCTCCCCGAGGCGAGTACCTGGAGACTCTGCGACTCCGGGCTGCCCGGGGAGGCGGGAGGGTCGGTCGCTGAGCCAGCGGCCGAGCTGGCAGCCGAGCTGGCGGCCGAGCGGGCGGCCGAGCTGGCAGCCGAGCGGGCGGCGGAGCTGGCGGCTGAGCGGGGCGGCCGAGCTGGCAGTCGAGCTGGCGGCGGGGTCGGCGGCGGTGCCCGCGGTGGTGACAGCGACAGCCGCCGTGTCTGGCGGCGGCCCGCCGGTCGGCCACCCGGACCGGCAGGCGGCTGGCTCGGGCGGCACCGGGACCGGCCGGCGGCAGCGGGGACGGCGCCGACGCCGCCTCCCGAGCCGCCCCCGGCTCCAGCTGGAACACACAGCCGCGCCGACGCTCGGTCCAGCCCACGGCGGGAATGCTGAACAGTACCTCGCGTGCTTATGAAGCCTTGGCAACGCTGGTGACGGACAAAGAAAGTTGCACAACACATCGAGTAACAAGCTGCTAGCTGCTGTTATGTTCTTCGTGGCTCATTGTGCATATCTCAATTTAGGACGGTGAATACAATACGGTTATCAACAAAGCACAAGTAGCTAATGCGATCTACCTGCTGGTCCATCAAGTAAAGTTCCAGTTGGTTCTTCAGCCGACAGATGGTGCCCTCCGCGTCCGTGGCTCGCCGCTCCTCGTCAGCCAATTGACTGCGCACGTGATTGCACTCTGACGTCAGCCTTTCGACGCGTAGTCGTAGTGACGTGACCTGGCACAAGACGCGGGCTCAGTCCAATCTTTATCCCGCTGCGTCAGGCCTCAAAATCACTGGACTAAAGTAAATCCAGCACTAGATTAACAGTTACGGTAACTGCAGCTAAGATATCAACAGCAACGACATCACCAACAAAATGCATACAGCACTCTCCACAAGACAAACGCCCTGTCTGAGTTGTGCAGAATTCGGTGCCCACTTGATGCGTCGCACCTCAGCGGTCTGTGCGCCACAGAGCTCCGATGCCCACCCGCCGTGCATGTCATTACCATGTACATTATGTACGAAAGCTTTTGTCAGCATACACTACTCACAGAAGAGTAGTCAGATAAGCGGATATAGAATCCCGCCCAGGCGAGCGAGATGTCGTGTGCACAAAACACTTTTCATTACTTGCAACCGACCGTAGCGGCAAGCGCACGCGCCAGCAGGTCAGTGCATTTCCCTATCAGAGAGCAACGCAAAATAGCTTCAACGTGCCAAACGGGCCTCATCTAAGACAAACACGTCTTCGCAGCTACACGTGGAGCCGTCTGCGCGTCAGCCGACGACAGCACTAGCTGCCGTCGCCCGCCGTTGGCTGTCGGTCGGGCACGCCGTACCTCCCGCTCGGCTTCCTGGCTGCGCTCCAGCCAGACGCGCTCGTCCGGCGCGCCGGCCTTCACCTCCAGCAGCGCCCGCTCCAGCAGCGCCCTCTGCGCCCGCACGCCCTCCCGCTCCCCGTCAGCCGCGTCACGGGCCACCTGCCGGCACATGGAGAGGTGTCACGCGTCGCGATTAGTCAGCGTCATACGGGGGTGACACATGTCACGGTTGGCTGGCCTGCCCAGGAATGACGTCACACGTCGCGGCCCAGCCGGTGTGACGCTGAGATGACGTCAGAGGTCTGGGCGTCTGGTGTGAGTGGCGGGTCGGGCGAGTGTGCGGTGGGCGGCGAGGTGTTCAGTGCCGCTGGGCGATGCGAGCGAGCGACGGGCGGGCGAGAGGCACCGCTGGGCGCTGGGAGCGAGGGGTGAGCGAGAGGCACTGCTGGACAAGAGGCAAGGAGGGACGGAAGAGATACGCCGCTGGACGGCAGAGAGCGAAGGGTGGGCGAGAGGCGCTGCTGGGCCGCTTGACCGAGTAGCCGCGGCCCCGGTAATCAAACGGCAATGAACAACAGGCGCTCAAACTCTGCGCAATCTGCATCAACGTAATACCAGTTACCAACACATGTGTACGGAGTGAGCAGCAGGCTCAACACGCGCGCATTGCAGACGGAGCGGGACAGGGATGGCGGCGCCGGTGTGTCGTCGCTGACCTGGGTGGCGCAGAGCTGCCCCTGCAGCGTCTGCCGGAGCGTCAACAGGCCGGCCAGCGTCTGGCAAAGCCGCTCCTGCAGGGCGCGCTGCGGCAGACTGAGGCAGCCGCGCAGCTCCTGCACCACGCACCGCACCGTCCTGGCAACCGCAGAGGAGTCAGCCAGGAGAGGCCGAGAGGCCGATACTGAGCCGGCCCTGCTTATCAGATACGCTCTGAGACTGAACACGGCAGCGGGCGCTATGTCCGAGCTGACTACAGTATGTCCGTCGCAAGAACGCTAGGTGCGGTCGTACGGAGCGAGGGCAGTCGCTTCGCAAGGTCCAAATTACGAGTTCCGGGAATGCGCGAGCGGATGTAAACCATATCCATACGTAAACCGGGCACTGGGGTAAGAGCCAAACACGTCATCTTCTAACGCCTGTCTCTAACATCGTCCGTTCTGCTCAGAAAGCATTTCGTTTAGCACAAAAATAGCGCAAAACTAACACCACCACGAGCAACTTTATTAATATTGCAATACATCACTAGCCATTTCAAACTGACATCGCAGCACTGCACACTAGAGCTCAGCACGCCATGCCGCCACTACCATTAGGCCCTGTGCAGTCCTCAAAGAATAACATAGGGCACTTTACTCTAGGCACAGTGACGGGCATCGTTACCAAGTGTGCCATGACATGTGAGAATGCCACGCCACGGTGCACCGCTGTCCACAGCAAGCAGTCTGTCCGCTCCCCACTGCGGCGTCGAAGCACCCGACCGGCTGGTCCGGCGGTAACGGGGACCGACCTGATCTTTTGGCCGTGTGAAGTCTTCAGACCGGACATTGGACCCGCACGCTGGCCGTCTGCGTCTCCGCCTGGTAAATGCGCGCCTCGGCCGACACCAGCGCCGCCTTGGCGGTGCCCAGCTGACTTTGTACTTCAGCTTCCGACCGCTCCGCGGACAAGAGGCGCTGGTGTAGCGAGGCTGAAAAAACTCGGTGCATCACCAAACCTGTACCATCACCTATACGCAGAGTACACATGGGACACATGCAGCCGCCTGCGGTGATCCGCACATCAGTCCAGACTCCAATGCATAGAATGATGGGCGGAAAGCCGGAGCAATACAGCACGCCGTCGATCTGCTGCCGTCACCGCTGTGGTCTGGCACCTGCGGCGCCCGTGTATATTCATATCTGAGCTCACCGTGCGCCTGCGTGTTCATCCTACTCGTCACTTTGGGATTAAAGAAATATAGCAGAAGGCATATACATATTTTATTGACGTATTTATAATATACATGTGTATATATACACACACACAAACATGTATATATATATACATGCATATATATATATATATATATATATATATATATATGTACGTATGCATGTATAAAGGCTGTAACAGCAGAACTTGACTTCGTTGGCGGCTTTGTACTTTGGGGGATACTGGGAACAAGCAACATTACCAACCACGTCTCTTACGTCAACCGCCGAAAGCTGTGTGCTTAGCTCTGTTTGCGTCCAAATCCTGACAAAGATGGCTCCTGATATCCCTCTGCTAAGAGCAAGGGAATGGAGTCGGACAGTCTGCTATTTTCCCGCCGGATGCTGCAAGGTGTTGAATGTTGGAAAACATCTTGTGAAATACGTATCACAAAAATTGTGGAAGGATATTTTGACATCTCCCGAGTTGCACGGAAAATCTCGCATTTCAAACTTCCCGACCTTAACGATGCTATACTTTTCAATACTATTGCCTACGCGACTCATGCCAGCCCGGAATACCAGCGGTGAGGACAACAGAAGAACGGTTGTCTATGAAGTCTATTGAGAGGTTAAGATTTTACCCAGCAAAGACGTAGATTGCTCTCTAAAACAAATGCCGTCTGCCACTATCCGTAGGTGTTTACCCATGTTTGACAGTAATGTGTTTCTTCCAAGCGTATATTTACATAACAGTGGCCATCTGAGCTTTGTCGACTGATAGCAGGCAGCGCAGGGGCGGCAGACAATATGTCATACGGGAGACACCAACCCGCCGGCCCGGGCACCGGGTGGCGGTCCTGAGGTCCATCCCCGCACCCGGCCGGCAATTTAGACGGCTCGCTGGCGGCGCATCATGCGCGCTGGTCACTTCGAGCCGCCTCCGACCTCCGGACGGGCTGGACGATGCCCGGCCGGAGCTGGCGCCGCCTCTCTGGCCGGCTGGCGGCCGTCCGCCGCGGCGTGGTCAGTGACCCGCGCGGGCTTCCGTCGACGGTCGGCAGCTCGCGCGCTCCAGCGGCGGCCGGACAAGCCACCCGCAGCCGGCCCGGCAGTGGCGGCAGGGATGCACGGCGGAGGGGTCATGCGTACCGGAGCCGCCCTGCTGCAGGCGGCCGGTCTACTGAGCCTCCTGTCCGCCGCCGTCGCTGCCTCCGCCGCCTCCGCCCGACACCGGCCGCCGCACATCGTCCTCATCGTGGCCGACGACCTGGGCTTCGACGACGCGAGTTTGCGCGGCTCGGACCAGATCCCGACGCCCAACCTGGACGCGCTGGCCGCGACCGGCGTGCCGCTGAGCCGCTACTACGTGCACCAGCTGTGCACGCCGTCCCGGGCAGCGCTGCTCACCGGCCGACTGCCGGTGCACACGGGCCTGCAGACGGACGTCATCTATGGCGCCGAGCCGTACGGTCTGGCCCTGGACGAGGCGCTGCTGCCGCAGTACCTGGAGCGACGCGGCTACCGCTGCCACGCCGTCGGCAAGTGGCACCTGGGCTTCTACCGGGAGGCCTACACGCCGACGCGTCGCGGTTTCCGCTCGCACTTCGGCTACTGGACCGGGCACATTGACTACTACGACCACACGGCCCACGAAGGCGCCCTCTGGGGGCTGGACCTGCGGCGAGGGCTGCAGCTGGTCGGCGGCGCGTTCGGCCAGTACACCACCGAGCTCTTCACGACCGAAGCCGAGAGACTGATAGGCGCGCACAACGCCTCGCGCCCGCTGTTCCTCTACCTGGCGCACCACGCGGTGCACGCCGGCAACGCCTACGCCCCGCTGCAGGCGCCGGCCGCGGCGCGCGCGCGCTTCCCCTGGATCACGGACGAGCGGCGGCGCGCGTTCGCCGGCATGGTGTCCGAGCTGGACGCGTCGGTGGGACGCGTGGTGTCGGCGCTGGCCGCGGCTGGTCTCCTCAACGACACGCTGCTCGTGTTCACCACAGACAACGGCGGCGCAGTGGGGGGCGTTGACGCCAGCGCCGCCTCTAACTGGCCCCTGCGCGGCGGCAAGTACACGCTGTGGGAAGGGGGCGTGCGCGGCACCGGACTGGTGTGGAGCCCGCGCCTGCCGCGCCGCTCGCGGCCGCTCTCACGCGCTGTGCACGTCACAGACTGGCTGCCGACGCTGTACGAGGCGGCCGGCGGCCGGGCGGCCGACCTGCGCCGACTGGACGGCGTCAGTCAGTGGGCGGCGCTGAGCGGCGCCGCGCCGCCGCCCGCCGCGCCGCGCCGCCTACTGCACAACATCGACCCGGCCACCAACTACTCGGCGTTGCTTGACGGGCGGTACAAGCTGGTGAAGGGTCAGCCGTTTCCGTGGAACTGCTGGTACGGCGGCGGCGGGCGCAATGCGTCCGGCGCCGACCTGTACGCCCTGATGGTGGACTCGGCCGCCGGTCGCGCCGCGCGCCGGCTCGGTCTGAACGTCACACGCCGTCGCGCCGCCGCCCTGCGCCGCCAGCTGGCCGTGAGGTGCGGCCCGCGGCCGGCCGAGCCCACGCCGAACTGCGCTGGAGGCTGCGTGTTCGATGTGGCAGCCGACCCGTGCGAGTTCACCGACCTGTCGCCGGCACAGCCGCAGCTCCGCGCGCGGTTGCTGGCTCTGCTGGAGCGCTACAGGCGCTCCATGGTGCCGTCGCGCAAGAAGCCGGCCGACCCGCGCGCCGACCCGCGCCTCTGGGGCTACAGCTGGGTGCCGTGGGCCGACATGACGCCAACGTGACGCCGGCACGCTGCCGACGCTGACGGCTGCCAGGTCCCACCACGCTGCCCGCTGCCGACGCTGACGGCTGCCAGGTCCCCACCACGCTGCCCGCTGCCGACGCTGACGGCTGCTGGGTCCCACCACGCTGCCCGCTGCCGACGCTGACGGCTGCCAGGGTCCCACCACGCTGCCCGCTGCCGACGCTGACGGCTGCCAGGTCCCATCACGCCGTCAACTGCCGACGCTGACGGCTGCCAGGTCCCATCACGCCGTCAACTGCCGACGCTGACGGCTGCCAGGTCCCATCACGCCGTCAACTGCCGACGCTGACGGCTGTCAGGTCCCATCACGCTGCCCGCTGCCGACGCTGAAGGCTGCAAGGTCCCACCACGCTGCCAGCTGCCGACGCTGATGCTGCCCAGGTCCCACCACGCTGCCAGCTGCCGACGCTGACGCTGCTGCACACCGCGTGGACACACACCACACGGCTGGCATGCAAATATGCATACTGCGTACGCCCGGGAGCTTCCTCACAGCCGTTTGTATGTGAATGGCGAGCTGGAGATACACCAGCTGACTGCATCGTCTCAGCTCTGTTCTGAGGTTGGACGTGAGGAGCAGAAGCCCGGAGCTCGCCCAGGTCTGCGGGCGGTGTTGTCCTTCCCCCAGCAGGAGATGGCTTCCGGTCTGACTGTACAGCCTTCTGGTGACTTTGTACTGATCTCTGAACGCTCGAGACTAACCCTCGACAGCTTGGTACTAGCGTGTGATGGCAAAATACAACTACGTTCCAGCCTATCACTGGTATGTGACGGACGTGCGTATGATGCTTTGTATCATGCTTCTGTTCAAGGTTGTACCGGGTCAGTCAGCCAGCCCGGGTCAGTGTCCCAGTAGCAGTGGAATCACAATTATCGAAACGCGAGGCTTACTTCGCGTCATTGAGCCTTCCAGCCCAACTGACTACCGAATAACCTGTCCCAACCAGTTGGCTTGCTAATGACGGGACTTGACCGCATTACGGAATAGCCATCATCATGGCGGAATGCTGGTGACGATGGTTAGGGCATTGACCTATTGGCCTATGACGGCCTATTGACCTATTGACCTATTGGCCTATATCATGACGGCATGCCATGATATGATACTATGATGCTCCTGACCACTAAACCTTGGCATGTACGTGGCCGTGGAAGTGTAAGCACACTAAGCTCGACACGCTATATGCTGCCATCGGTACTGACTTCTTGGTACGGACTTATGCAAACAGACCGCTCCTCAGCGGACCAGCAGCCAGCCCTCTGCCGCAAGACGTGAGGCTGGCTGCTTGGTCCGGGTAGACTGACCTATGACGTCCGGGTAGACTGGCCTATGACGTCCGGGTAGACTGACCTATGACGTCCGGGTAGACTGACCTATGACGTCCGGGTAGACTGACCTATGACGGAGCGGAGGTCATCCTTGTCCTGCAGCTGCGTCAGCTCCTGGCGCAGTCTGTCAGTCGCCTCCTCGGCGGCCAGCCGCTGCGCGCGCAGGAAGCTCAGCTGACCGGCGGCCAGGTCGAGCATGCTCTTCAGCCGGTCCCGCTCGCCCTCGGCCTCCACCTGCGGGTCAGCCGGGCCCGGTCAGAGACAGGCGCCGGGGCCGGGGCAGAACAGGTGGCCGCACACTCCCAGCCGCGGCGGGGCAGTGTCGGCGGCTGAGTCGGCCCCAGCGGTGAGAGGTGAGCGAACAGCGGTGGTGAGCTCACGCCCGCCGCCGGGGTCCCGTGGAGGTCCGGTCCGGTCCAGCTCAAGCCCGGTCCCAGCGTCGGGTGGCACACGCCAGGGTCGGCCGTACTCGTAAGCCGTAACTCGCTGCAGCCGAGCCCTGTCGGTCGGATCACGTGACTCACCAGCCGCCGCCTCAGGTCCGGATGGACCCGGAACACGTGACTCACCAGCCGCCTCCTGAGGTCCGGGTGGGCCGGATCACGTGACTCTGAGGAGCTGCATCACGTGACTCACCGGCCGCCGCCTCAGGTCCTGAGGAGCTGCATCACGTGACTCACCAGCCGCCGCCTCAGGCCCTGAGGAGCTGCATCACGTGACTCACCAGCCGCCGCCTCAGGTCCTGGTGAACCGCATCACGTGACTCACCAGCCGCCGCCTCAGGTCCGGGTCCTCTGCTGCCTCTGCGGCCGGGGTCTCAGTCAGCTGATCGGCCAACCGAGCGAGCGCCAGCCGGCCGGCGGCGCCCGCCTCCGCCAGCTCCGCCACACGACCCTCCAGCTCCGCACAGCGCCCCTCGCACTCAGCCAGGTGGTCTGCAACACGGTCCGCGACGCTAGCGTCAGAGGTTGACGTGCTGACAAAAATACTTAAACCTTGCACGCGCATGCAGATTTGGCGCTGGTGAGGTAGCTTCTTTCGCCGGCCGCCGCAGGAAACTCCCACAAACAGGAAGAAAACGTCAACACGATGGTGTTCCACCCACGCGGCCGCGAGCGTCCTACCGAGACGACAGCAGGCCTTGTTAGCCGCTCCCCCGCCCCCCACCGACAGCCTGTCGGCCGGCCACGCCGACTACCTTTCAGCTTCCTTTCTACCTTTCAGCAGCTGCGCCACACGGTCGGCATGGTCGGCGCGTCGGCGCTGCTGCTGCTCGCGTGACGTCATCTCGGCTAGCTGAGCGCGTAGCGCCGTCTGCGGCACAATGGGCGCGCTTTACGTGTGTGGGAGTGGGCGAGCATCAGTCACGGCTGCAGGCACGACCAAGGCGGATGATTTTCGGCTGACATCCCCCCCCCCCCGCCCTAATCCTCTTCCTATCTTCCCTACATCAGCCCAATCACACGTCTCACAATTGAACAGAGCGCAGAAGGCCAGGCTGCCTCAGGGCGAAACCAGAGCGCTAACAGCCGGCCCAGGAGTGCACTGACATGCGTTCGCAGCACCCCCCTGCCCCTTAAGGCCTGTGATTCTCGGCGGGCCCGAAACAGTCTACACGAGCGGCGCAGGACCGGCGCGGGGACGGCGCAGGGGCGGCGGGGGCCAGCGGGGGCGGTGGGAAGGGGGAGGGGGGGGGGGGGCGGGGGGGAGCGGTGAGGGCCAGCGTACCTCGTCGGTAGCGGTGGTCTGGTCGTCGCCGTCGGCGGCCGGGTCGGCCGGCGGCTGCTGCTCGGCCATCTGCTGCCTCAGCAGCGCAAGCTCGGCCTCCAGCAGGCGGCTGGTGCGCTCCTCCCCCAGCTGGCGGCGCGGGCACGGCGCTCAAACGGCCGGACGGCGTTCACCCCAGCAGGCACGCCAGCCCGTCCGCGACGTCACAACCACGCGCTGCATCCACTATCAAGCCACCGCCGCCGGTGCGGGAGAGCGAGCCGCACACCGCGGGTGTCTATTTGTACCACGGAGCGCAATCAGTCACATTTTTTTTTATTATCTGGCGTGTGGCATGGGTTGGGCGAACAATATTTTCGGTTCATTATAAGAGACAAGGTTGTCGTGGGCGTAAGGGACACGCACATTACTTGAGACCAAGTTTCAACTCAAACTTACCAGCTTCTCCTGATTTGACAGCATCGTAGCGTATTTTGCTGTCACCTCGTCCACCTTGCTGTTGACCTCTGTGATCTTTGACAGGGGGGCACTCTTCTCAAGTTCACGTTGTAGAACAGAGATTTGGAATTCCAGCTTCGCCTAAGAAAAAAGGGGACAGAAAGTTCACTGGCAGTCTTTGGACATTCATCGATCCCACAAACACACCTCACACGAAGACAGCGCGCGCCTCCACGTCGCCGCCGCGGCGCTGCTGCGGACCGCAGCACCCCACGCGAGCGGAGCGATGCCAATGCAACCGTCCTAACCCTCTTCCGCCAACCCTAGTGCGGACTGCCAGCCAGATCCCAGAATCTAGTCTTATCATGACTGCTCCGGCCCGCCGGCCGCCTCCCCACAGCCAGCCGGTGACAGACCGGCCGATGCCGCCGGCCGGCCGGCCGCCGTCACCTTGTCGGCTCGCAGGGCGGCCAGGCGGTCGGCGGTGGCCAGCTGCGCCTGCTGCAGCTCCTGCTCGGCCCGGTGCAGCCGCGCCGCCAGCTCGGTCCGCTCCGACGCCAGCAGCCGCAGCCGGCGCTCAGCGCGCAGCAGCTCGCTGACGCGCAGCGCCATCTGTCGGTGCACCTCGGCGACTCGAGTGCGCTGCTCGTCCGCCGGCGCCTGCAGCGCCAAGGCGCCGGCCTCCAGCTGCTGCAGCTGCGCCCGCAGCACCTGGTGGGAGTGGACGCCGCGTCAGCGCACCGCCCCGGGCCGGGTCAAGGCCACCGCGCTGTCACCTGCCGGCGTGCCCGCGCCAACCGCACCTGGTTCTCCGAGCTGGCCTCCTCGTGCTGCTGCTCGAGCTGTCGCCGCTCGGCCTGCCACTTGTCGGCGTCCTCGGCGCGCTGTCGGTAGAGCAGACCCATCTGGTGGCGAAAGACGGCAAACTTCTGCCGCAGCGTCTCCAGCTCGGCGCGCGCCTGTTGGCCGTCCCGGCCGTGGTCGTCCAGAGCCTGGCGGGAAGGCGGCGCTGGTGAGAGGCGGGGTCAGCTGATCGGCCGGAGCGCCGCCTGCGCCTGGCACGGCTGCCGCCTGGCACTGCCGAGAATAGGCTGGCAGCCGGCCACCGTCCGCGAAGACAGGCGGCAGATGGAGAGTGCTTACAGCTACAAAACCCTGCTCCGAGTCTTATCATGACTAAACAGCAACTGTGGTGCATCTGATACACATTTGAAGCCTGAATTAAACACAGCCATGGTGGCAGGCCGCGCAGGGGGAGGAGGGAGTGTACCGACACGAGTAAGCAGCGCTTGACCGAACGCGCCGTCGGTCTTCCACGCAGCTACGCTAAACGAGCATCCAGTCACCAAACACTTTTGACCCAGTCATCCCGCCACGTATCCAGGCCGGCCCACCGCACGGCGGCTGAGCCGACCCCCGGGACATCACCAGCCAGTCCGGCCGGTCGCCGCTGCCGACACGCCCTCGGCTACCTTGAGCGCCACAATCAGCTGGCCGGTCAGCTGGCCGATGACGCGGCTGCTGGAGGCGGCCAGGTGCGGCGGCAGCACCAGGCCCGCCGCCAGCGCCTCCAGCGCCGGCGCGTCGCCGCCGGCCGGCACCGAGCTCACGCTGGCGCCGCGCAGTTCGGCTCTGGGGGCGCACCGGAGCTCCGGCTAAGAGCGTGGCAGACACAGGCTCCGCCGCTGTCATGTCTCAGCCCCAGGCTTGGATCACGGGGGCGGGTGTGAATCGGCCGCGCCGTAATGATAACGGGTGCAGCAGACTGTGACGTCATGGCTAGGCCGGCTGCGCGCGTCGACATGCATTTCATATTGTCCAACGGCGAGAATAGAGTCAAAAATTTGAGCAAAGACCGGCCAGAGATCCGGCGGTTGTCACGATTCTGCGGTCTAACACAGCAGCACGGAGCAGCAGGCGGGGGAGAGCTGAGCTAGCCGGGACAGGGCAGGCCGCTGCACCCGACACAGAGCATAGCAGTATGGGGCAGCAGGCGGAGCAGAGTTGAGCTAAGGGGGACAGGACAGGCCACTACACCCGGCACAACGCACAGCAGCGCGGGACAGCAGGCGGGCAGAGCTGAGCTCACCGGGACAGGACAGACCACTACACCAAGCACAGCGCACCCATCGGTACGATCCGGGTCTGCTCAGCGCGGGGCGGCGTCATCCCACCCCAAACGGCCGGAGCCGAACTGAGCGGGCTCCCGCCGAGCCGGCGTCGGAACGAGGCAGCGCGCCAAATCACCTGGCGGCGCGCAGCTGGTTGCGCAGTTCGTCGTTCTTGCCCTCCAGCTGCTGCAGCATCGAGTAGGGCACGAGCGCCGAGTGGAACTGGCCCACCAGGCTGCGGGTGTCCATCGCCTGCAGGAGTGCCTCCAGCGAGGGCGCCGCCACCTTGACGGCGCTCACCGCTGCCGGCGCGGCCCCAAGTGACACACGGCGACAGAGCCCGACCGCGGCACAGGCAGGTCATATCTTCAGGACTGACCATCGCCGCCACAATCTTATCATCAGTCTTGCGAAAGAGGGCGGCGTACGCGCAAGCCATTCGAAACATGTTTGAAAGCAGTATTCTGCAGGGTTCAAGGCGAGGAGGCACAAGGCGGAGGAAGTAAGGCATTATCATAACGCAACGATTTTAGCCCACCGCACCGGCCCGCTGACACACCTGTACTGAGGACCCTCACTACAAAGAGGAGACACCCGGCAGTGACATCTTATCGTTCGGTAGACATATCGCCAATGCTGCAGAAGCTGCTCTTTCCTCGGCACGTTCGCTGCAACACACGCTGGCGCAGCGCGTGACGCCCTACCGTCCTGCTCGCGGATGCTGGCGAGAATCTCGCGCATGCCGGTACGCAGCTGGTCGTTCTCGGCCCGGGCGAGCGCGGCGGCCCGCTCGGCCTCTGCCAGCCGCTCGCGCGCCGCCGTCAGCTCCGCCTCCAGCCCGGCCAGCCGAGCGAACACGTCGGCCGACGGCGTGCGCTCCAGGCTGGCCGGCGGCCGCGCTGCAACACGCCCGCGCCGTCACCAGCGGCACCGAGGGCAGCAGCAGGGGAGGCAGCAGCGGCGGTGCGTTTGACAGAGGGTTTGGCCCTGTATGGCGACTTCGCATGGTGGTAGGGCATAGCCGGTGTGACGGACCCGGAGCTGTGATCACGCACAATGTCAGGCGTTGCTCGCCCATTGCAGCGCACGACGAGCTCGGCCGAACCTCCAGTCGAACAACGCAGCGGATCACGACGGCCGTGTGAGACGGCCAACGTTCTCAACAAACGGTGCATGAGGCGGTCGAGTTTGCAAAACGTCCCGCGCCTTAGAGCATTCGAACGGGGCGCTGGGAGGTGCAGCGAGTCCGCCCCAATCCAGACACTGGCGCCCTTTATATTGAGGACCGTTGATACGGCGAAGTTGATGACGAGTATGCTGGCACCGGCTGACCTGGCCCCAGGCGGCGCACGTATTCCCAGAACTCCTTGCGCTGCCGGCAGATGTCGCGGATCTCGTCCGGCGAGAGGCCGGCCTGGCCGCCCGAGATCAGCTGCCGGCTCAGCTTGCGGTTCTGGCGGCGGAGGCGGCGGCCGTGAAGGGCTGAGGCGCGGTCCAGGTACGTCAGAGGCAGACACGTCCAGTGGCAGCGGGCCTAATACAGGCGCGGTCCAGGTACGTCAGAGGCAGACGCGTCCACTGGCAGCGGGCCCAACACGGGCATGGTTCAGGTACGTCAGAGGCAGACGCGTCCAGTGGCAGCGGGCGTAATACAGGCGCGGTCCAGGTACGTCAGAGGCAGGCACGTCCACTGGCAGCGGGCCTAATACAGGCACAGTCCAGGTACATCAGAGACAGACACGTCCAGTGGCAGCGGGCCCAACACTGGCAAGTTTAGGAGCCCGGACGAGCAGCGGCGGCAGCGCACAGCGCGGTTGAGGAGCACCGCAAACGTCGCAGGCTGCAGATGACTGGCTGGTGATGCCCTCATGTCGGAAATGCGCATCGCAAGTGAGACGGCTTCATGTGTTTTTGTCAACCGTGAGCTCCAGATGTTTTCAAGAGGTATCAAGACTAACCAGGCTTTAAGATTTTGCCGTCATCTAACCAGTCTTAAAAGCGATTGATTCACATTCCGGTAGTTAAACAGACGTACACGAGACAAATATTCCAGGTTGATGAGTAACCGCAGCCCAAGCCAAACTGCTCGCAAGTCCTGATCACCAACGTCGATTCCCTCGCCGCGCAGGTATGTACCTCCAATTTTAGAGCTATCCTCTCCTCCTCGAGCTTCTCCACCTCCCTTTCCAGCACGTGGACGAGCTTCTCCTTGCCCGCGTTATTGGCCACCAGGTCCGCGGCCTCGTGCGGCTCCATGCCCAGGCGGCTCCTGACCAAGCACGTCTGGCCGTCAGCACCGGTCGCAACGGAACACAATCTGCGCCCGTCAGTGCGTACTCCCGCTGGCTGGAACGGAAGTGAAGTATGGGGTCCGACGCATACCCGTCACTGCCTGCGCGGTCCTCAGCGCCAGGAGTGGCAAGGGGGGGGGGGACACCAGCTCGAGCCACACGCGCATACACACCACCTGGTGGCAATGCTGCCGCCGCCGCCTGCGCGGACGGTGCGGCACGGCGGCGCGGGGGGTGGCGGCCCACCTCAGTCCCGTGTTCTCGTCCACCAGCTCCGTGAGGTGGCGCTGCACCAGGTTGATGTAGCTGTTCTGCTCGGCCACCTGGCGGTCGCGCACGCCGACCTGGCGCTGACACTCCTTGATTTCAGCCACCGCCTCCGACAGTCCGAACTCGCCCTCCATCACCTCCCGCAGCTTCACCGTCAGCTCCGTCACCTGCGCACAGGTCATGTCAGGTCAGGTCAGGTCAGGTCAGGTAAGACCGGGCCCGTCCTCCATGGACTCTCGCCCTTTCACTGCCAGCTTTGCCATCCCAGATCATAACACCGATGCAATCATGGACAAAGAACAGGCCGGGCGCGCCTCGCCCTCCACCGGGTTTTGTAGCCCGGTCGCAGGTCAGGTCGGGGGTCAGATCAGATCAGGAGGCATCGAATCAGGGCGCGTCAGGTCAGGGTGCCTCGGCTCAGATCAATTCGACCAGATATATCGATTGCATTAATTGACCGTCAGCTTGGTCAGCGAACGCCGGCCAGGGTCGGGTAATGCATGGGCACATCGGCCCGGGCGCAGGTCACTTTCTGCATTCTCGTCGTCACGCCCACTCCCCTATCGCTCTACCGCCGAGCTCCAGAACATCGGACGACCCAGCGCCGCCGCGAGCGTGCTGCGCGCAATCAGCCGGTAAGGACGTGCCGCCGCCGGCCGACGCCTCACCTGATCGTTGTAGTCGGCCGCCTGCTGCTCGGTGGCCTCCAGCTGGGTGGTCAGCTGGCGCACCTGAGCCTCGGCGCGCGCCAGGTCGGCCCGCACGGCCAGCAGCGAGCTCGGTGCCGGCTCACCGCTGTTCAGCACAGGAAACGAGTCGCTGGTCAGAGGGGCGCCGGCTGGGCGCCAGCTCACTCCGGCCCAGACACGGAGCACGCCGGGTCAGGTGCGGCGCGGCACACCGACATCTCGATTCATGTGGCGCGGCACACCGACAGAGCCGCTGGTACCACGCGGTGTACCACAGACGTCACGTCTGACGCGGCACCGGCCACTGACACTGACCTCGGAGCGGAAGTGTCCACTGACCGACCGGTCGGTGTGGAGCGATACCGGCCAGACGCACAGCTGACCCGGTGCGGCGCGGCCCCGCCACCCAGCAGGTCCGCCTCACCTGGATGCGGTGCCATGCTCGCGGCTCTGCTCCAGCAGCCGGGTGGTGGTCTCCATGTCGGTTGTGGCACGGCGCAGCGCCGCCTGCTGCGTCGCCAGCTGGCGCCGCTGCTGCTCGCACTGCTGCTGCAGCTCGCCGATGCGCCGCTTGTCCGAGTCCACGTCTGGTGTCGTCTGCTGGCGGCGGCCGAGCCGAGAGTCAGCTGGGCCAGTGCCGGGCACGGGACTGAACAGCCCAGGCTGGGCTGATGGCGAGGGACACGGACAATACGGCTGAGGGCCCGGCTGATGGCGAGGGACACGGAAAACACGGCTGAGAACCGGGCTGATGGTGAGGAGCACGGGATAAAACGGCTGAGGGCCCGGCTGATGGCGAGGAGCACGGACGACACGTCTGAGGGCCCGGCTGATGGCGATGGACACGGACAACACGTCTGAGGGCCCGGCTGATGGCGCGGAGCACGGGGCAGAACGATTGAGGGCCCGGCTGATGGCGTGGAGCAGGGAATACAACGGCTGAGGGCCCAGCTGATGACGAGGGGCAAGGGATAGAGCGGCTGAGCGCCCGGCTGATGGCGAGGAGCACGGAATACAACGGCTGAGGGCCCGGCTGATGGCGAGGGGCATGCCAGTGAGGCGAGCGTTCACAAACGCTGACTGGCAAGAGCGGAGTTCGCTGACAAGCCGCAGCGACTGGAAGCCGAGAAACACGCATGGGTTGTGGGCACACGTGGGCGTACAAGTCCTGCCTAGTCTACAGTGAGGACGCTGGCGGGGCGTTACCCTGACGTTGGCGCGGCGCAGCTCGGCCTGCAGACCCTCTATCTCGGTGTCGCGGCCCGTGATGAGCCGCTTGAACTCCTCAGTGCGCTGCTCCACGATGGCCGACAGCTGGTCAAACTGACGGTCGCGACGCAGCTTCACCGCCTGCAGCTCGGCCACCTGCGCCTCCAGACGTTGGATGGTGCGAGCCGCCTCGCCACTGCCATCTGACGGACGGCGCATGAATCAGCCGGCGACTTGACGGACAAACTCCCGTCACATGCGAACGACACTGCAAGCCCGCACCGAGGCAACGATCGCCTCTAACATTCACAGTCCACAACACGGGCAACCCTACAGAACAGAGGGAGGGGAGCGCTAGACGACAGAGAGAGGGGAGCACTTCAGGACAGAGCAAGGGGAGCGTTAGACGACAGAGGGAGCCGAGCGTTAGAGAACAGGGGGTGGGAGGAAACGGGAGGGGGTTGCACCACCGGATGACGAAAAGGAGATTTATCCGATCTCATGGACTCCTTTAGTCAGGGTCTTCCTGGCCTTCGGATCGGCACTTTGTCTCAGTGCCAGCGTCGCCTCGTCAGGTCGAAGCACCCACACCATGATCAGACGCACGCTTCACTGCGATTCTGTACACTGGTGATAGCTGTCTGAAGCGCTTAAGTGTGCGGGCCGGTCCAGAGCTGTTCCAGCCGGCCGTGTGCAGACGCCGCCAGCCGCCAGTCCAGAGCTGGTCCAGCCGCGGCCAGACGCCGTCAGCCGTCAGTCCAGAACTGGTCCAGCCGCGGCCAGACGCCGCCAGCCGCCAGTCCAGAGCTGGTCCAGCCGTGGCCAGACGCCGCCAGCCGCCAGTCCAGAACTGGTCCAGCCGCGGTCAGACGCCGCCAGCCGCCAGTCCAGAACTGGTCCAGCCGCGGTCAGACGCCGCCAGCCACCAGTCCAGAGTAGCACTGCGGGCTGTGATATCACACCTTGTTCGCCGCGCGGCGCCGGCCGAGGCTGCTTCCTGAAGACCTCGAACTCGGCCGTCATGTCCTCGATCTGGCGCGTGGCCTCCGATAGCTGGTCGCGCAGTGAGACCACCTGAGCTTTCATCTCCGACTTGTCCTTCTCGTGCGCCTGGAGGCGGTGGGGAGACCGGAGGCACCTCAGTCGCTTGGACCCACGCGAGTGTTGTGAACGACAACATGGTTGTCTGTCTCTGTTCAACATGCACTACTTAAAAGTCGATTTTTTCGATTTCACTCTCCTCGTTTTTTTCATGAACATGCACATACGACATTGAAATAAGTAAGCTGCGATTACGCACCAGCTCGAGGCTGTTCTGTTATCGTTTAAGCGTTTAACAAACAGCAGATTCAGTCTCCTCCACACCGCTAGCAGGCCGCTTTGGCAGTCTGTACGAACATGCCATTGACCCCTGAACGTGCGGAAAGAACACTACCGGACCTCGACGTCGTCGAGTAGCACGTTGATGTACTGGTTCTTCTGCCGGATCAGTTCCGCATACTGGTGCTCGCCAGCGTCCTCAGGGTCCTGACAGCCATCACACAGCATCAATACAGGCTCCGGTGATAGCGACCGAACGGCTCTTTTGATAGATCGGTACCAAACACGTGATAACCAACAGATTGACAGACAAATATTGACGGATATTCCAACGAATTTCACGCCCTGTACCTATGAATAGCATTCATAGAACTTATACTGTATTTCGCCACACTATCAGCGTCCCTGACTCGCAGCTGGTAGATGCGGCCGCTGCCATCCAACGCGGTTGTTTTCTCGTCTTCTCAACCGCAAACCGGCGACGCTGACGCGGCTCCTAGCAAGCACGAGCCGGCCGGCTCCCGCCACCGTTGGCGTGCCCACCTACCGATCTGGAGTCATATCCGCGACGCAGCTCGTCCAGGGTCTCGTTCAGCTGCTCCACCTGGCGCCGCAGCTCGCGCCGCTCCACCTCCAGCTCCTCCACACGCGCCGACAGCTGAAACGCACCGTCATGCCCGCAGTGTGACCGCTGTCACATGGCCGCCGCCGTCGACGCGTGCCCCGTCTCCAGCTGTCATGTGATAGGACGGCAACTGTCGTGCACAGATCACGACGCCCGCAACACTTAACACGGTCCATATGCCCAATTCGATTGACCTCTGGCAGGGGAACGTCGACCATTCCCCAGGGTAAGCCCCCCCGGCGTTCCCACTCGGGTCCTGGAACGACATTCGCATCGCCGTGTCATTGTCCAGCACATACTCCATTGAAACAGTGAGAATTCTCCTGCACAGCACAAAGAAAAATCGTCGCCTTCCTCTACCGTCGGCGCCAACAACACCGTTCTGTCCACACCTTGTCCGTTTCGTGCTTCTCGTCATCAAGCTGCCGCTGTTTGGTCTTGAGGTCCTTCTTCAGCTGATTGCGGGCGGCCTGTAGCTCCTCCACCTCCGTCCTGAGCTCCACGCCCCGGGCGTCTGCGGCGGACGGCACCCTCCAGACACTCACACGAGCCATTCGTCCGGCATCACTCAGGCAATCACACGAGCCATTCGTCCGGCACCCTCCGGACACTCACACGAATATTCGTCCAGCACCACCCGGACACTCACGCGAGCCATTCGTACAGCACCATGCGGACACTCACACGAACCATTCGTCCGGCGCCACCCGGAAAATCACACCAGCCATTCATCCGGCACCACCCGGACACCCATACCAGCCATTCGCCAGCACTGAACGGAAATTTCACGCCATAGTCACCATATACCCATACGCAGTAGCACGCAGCACGATACCAGACATACAAACAGACGTCGTCATCAATGGTTCAGGTGTAATACCTTAAGAGTTTTCCAGCACTGGTTGCCAACGCATGCAACTGAGACAAACATCTCATCACGATGACTGAATATGAAACATGCCAGTTCCGTGTAGGGCCGAGATTCCAGGACACTAAGGCTCAGTAATAATAAGTAATCTGGAATTCAAGCAAATGTATGATAGCCGCATGCTCCATGACAACGGAAAAAGCATCCAACTGATAAAAAACAACCCACCTGCACCCTTGCTCTTGTACTTGTTAACCAGCTTCTGAAGTTCTGAATTGCGTTGTTTAAGCTCTTCATTTTCTCCTGATGCTTCTGCACGTTTTTCGATCTCCTCGACAGCCACAGACAGCTGAAGATCCAGAATGGAAATGTTATGACAGCCAAGCATACATATCACAATGGGCTTGGAGAATCATCGGTATCATCAGTTGATACCAAGGTGTCATCACACATCCATTAGCAGATCTTGTGTTAAAGCATCGCTAGTTGTTGCAACAGTCACATTATATATCAGACAACTGTCAGTCTATCACTAAGAGGTTCTTTGAATGGCCAGAGTAAGTTTGACCAAAGAAGGGTCAGTGCAATTTAAACTCAGCCCATGCATGAAACCATCTGTGAAGTAGAAGGGAAAACCCATCACCACAGATTTCTGGGTTTTGAAATGGTCAGCATGGGTGTCAAGTAAAAAAGAGTGGACTTTTGGACTTGGACTGGGAAGAATTGACTTTTTGGTAAGAGGCTGAGCCTGTGACTAAGTGTGTTAAACAGTATACAGGATCCCCAATAGGGGACTCAATGCAGATAGATTGCATTCTACTCAAGTTGGCAAGTCTCTTTGCAATGAGCATGTCAGCAGAAAGAGCAAGACTAAAGGAATTGTGCTATATGAAATAGTTGCAGGTTGCACAGCCAGCTGACCTCATTATAATAAAAGGAGCAGTCCAAGAACGGGCAGCAACACATGGCGAGTACATTCATGACAAGAATGGCACACAATGTTCCATAAAAAAATACTTTTGCATGGTCAGCAGACTTACAACTGGCTCCACACTGGTACAGAAGGTTATGCAACTATATGCCTGATAAAGACCATAAAAAGGCAAGAATCGGAACTATACAATACCTGTTCTTGCTTGCATCTCATGGCACATTGAGCTAGAATAACTAGCTGAGCAAGCTGATCTTTGTCTAGCTCTCCTGAAATGTTCTCTTTCAGTGCATCTATGCCAGAGTACAACTCCTCTAGCTTATCTTCAGGTAGATCACTGCTGATATCAAATTTCAGCAGCTGCTGGATGTCCAGCCCACCCATTTTCCTTACAAGTTTTGAGGCTCTTGATATATTTTTCCAGTGTTTTTAAACAAAATTATAACTGGTCTTGCTCACAACATTGTGCTGAAACATTTGGCACACATCAGCTCAACAGCCATATACAGTATATATACAACATACACATTCTAGTATGTTGGTAACAGGTTTACACCTGGACCATTTCGGTTTTGACCCATATATTGGTAACCAGGGCACCTACAACCGTAATTTAAGCTGCGAATGATAGACAATTCAACATTCTACGTTTTCTAAAAGCGCAGCGAAGCAAGCGCGCAAGCGCCTGTTACATCTAAAGGATGATCGTGAGTCCTAAGCGTAAATACAATTGCCAGCAGCTTAGTATTTTGTCTCCAAAGCGCCAACAATGTTTATACGTATGGCATTTCTGTTTCCATAGCAACTGGCTCCCAACATAAGTTAACAGCTGATTGCGGCTTCATAAATGGCGTTGCCGCGCTAATTGTGAAGGACACGATTCTGTCAGGTTTTTTGCTGTGTAAAGAGGTGCGTGAGTAAGGTTGAATTGAACATTTCGTGCAGTGTTTGTTAAAGGTTGGCTCGGACATTGGCATTTATTACTTGTTGCTCGCAGTGCTTTTTCACGGAGATCTTTTTATTTTCGTTTGAAGTTGTGTTCAAAAAAAGGATTAGCCGGTGAGTACGGCAAGTCTGGATTTCTGATGATAATTCATGTTTGTGTAGATGGTGAGGTCGTGGGGTGAATTAATTTGAGGCCATGCCCCATTTTCTCAAACTCATATTATGTTTCTGGCACAGGACTAAGCAAATATGCCTTAAATTACATATTTTCCATGTCAAACTTCAGCCATTAATTATCTGCTGTCATCACTTGAGTTATGCTGCAATGCTCTTAGAATGGAATGCAAGTGATTATTGAGTGCTGATCTCACATCATCTGCAGGGTTTTTTTATTAAATTTGCTCTGAATGGTTTGTATGGATGATTCTGGGCTCATAGTACCTGCTAAGCGTAGCTTGTTGCATGTACCCCGAACCCACCACCCTAGTCATACCGTCCAATTCAATGGATAATTTTGCCTCCGCCCTTGCTCCAGACAGGACTGTGGAGGGTTTTACCTACCACACAACGCTGCAACCCCAGCCAGGGTTGACCCTCACTGGCCGGTTGCCAGCTGACCTTTCCATTTCAGTTGGGCCAAACAATGCGCCGGCTCTGGGACTCATACCCAGTGCCGCTGGATTACGAGTCCAGCAACTTTCCCCTAGACCATGTGTTTTGACATACTTGTTTAATTGAGACTAGGTCTTGGTCTGACAGGCAGGAAAGAACAGCTCCTTTAAAGCTGATAAACAGGAAGATTCGTGCAATGTGTAGACAGAGCCAGTCAAAGAGTAAATGAAACTTATGCTAAACTGTCAAGAAAGTGGTGTTAAAACCAACAGAATTGGCAGATCTTGCCTCAAGAATGTTGGGCCAGGGCAAAACTTTGACATACTGCCCCCTCTCCTCACCCAGACATTAGGTACCAGTGAAGCCTGAACCTAAATCTAATGATAGTCTAGCACCCTCAGCCCTGGGGAGGCTAAGGCTCTGTTTTCTTCTATCTTGATATTATTTCCACCCTAGTGGCCAAACACAAAATTTGTCTTATATAGTCAGAGCACACAGCAAGACTGTATGTATGTTTGACTGGAAGCAATTACCAGTTCATATATATATATATATATATATATATATATATATATATATATATATATATATATATATATATATATATATATAAACATATATATATATATATAATAAATCATATATATATATATATATATATATATATTTAACTCAAATTATTATTTTGATAAGCAACACAAATTTGTGCTGTGCAGCCAAACTGAAAATGTGTGACATACTGATCATGTCCAACAGGGCAGTAAGAATGTAGAAACAATTCATTGCATTTACACAGCTTGGTTAGCATGTGATCATTATTGATCCATTCTAAAGGTTAGCATATTAAATTGGCTGTGCAGTATTATGCTTTGTAATCATGACAGTTTTTTAATGTTTTAACACAATTGAATTCTGTGCATGACTTGTTTATTCTGAGACGATGTGTTGTAATTATCATGGCTGTGTGCTCCAAAATAGTTATATATGGTATATAAGCAGGTGTATTCTGCAAAATGCATAAAACTCAGTTCACAACAGCATCTTGTGTTTTTGTGGTGCCTATTGTGGTGAGCTAGCAGTTCTTATGTCAACCTGGCACCATTGGCCTGCTTTTATTGTTTTTAACATTAGGGTTTCATGATGCATTCAGTTGCTGTGTTTAAGTGGTATCCCCTTATTTCACCATGGCAGGAAGAGTGGTGTGTTGACTAATAAGTCTGGCTGTCCTGAAATATTATCTCATGTGACATTTATTTTTTAAATATTTTATGAGGTGTATTTTAGGTGTAGCAAGCATGTATGAGCAGATCCCCCACCTGCCATTATCTTGACACTAACAGCAAGAATAGGATGTGATGTCATGATTTGATTATAATCACATATTTATCATTTTTCAGCAAAAATGCCAACCTGGAACCAGATCCAGTCTCAGCTCAAGCACCCTAATAATCCAGTGGTGTTCTTTGATATAAAAGTTGGCAACACTGTGAGTATTGTGTTCAGAATTTAGGTGGTTAGTCCATTCATGATAACTAATACACTGCATTGGATTATGTAAAGAACATGCAATGTCATTAGCATTGTATCTCTTTGCCTGAACCTCGAGGTAATGCAGGTTTTGGTGTTTTCTGATGAGATCAGTTTTGTCCTGCACTGCCCTGTTTTTTATGGGTCTACTTTGTTTATTTTTGTGTTCTTTGCCTTCTTTCTCAATGTTTTTTTGGTGCTGTTTAGTGATTTTTGGGCTTTAATGCTGACTGCATGTATGTGACATTTTTATGGTTGCATGTATTTGATAATGCAATATCAAGCCCTCCTTTTGTCCCCAAAATTACACTGTCAGTGTAAGTTGCACTGTGTTGGTGTGGATGTGAGTTGAGTTTGTATGTGGGTGCATTGGTGAGATTTGTGAAAGTTAACAGCATCATACTTATGGCGATTTTGGATTGGTCTGCGATATCTTCATAGGCGTGCATGAAGAGCCATTATTTTCAAGCAATTTTAATTTTGGGAAAGAGACATGAAGTCTGCCAGGCAGTTCCAGTTTAATCATCGCTACTGGAGCATGCCCCAGACTGGAATCATTGCACACATCTGCCTGTTTCCACTCCCTGTGTGGTACAACAACAATTCAAATAGTCTTAATCCAATTTGTGTTCTGCAATTTCCATTTCATGATTTCAGTAGTCGCATGTGGTTAGTATGTCAGGCTGGCCTAAAAGGAGTCCTGTAAAGTTGTTCAAGGCCAACTTAGATCATTGCATGAGCCAAAGTAATGTGGACATTGATTTGCCTTCACATCATGACTGGCAGCTACTGCTAGCATGCAGTATTCGTTAAGTTCGTGTTATAAAAATATCGAGGCGAAAGACGAAGTATAATCTTGTCTGTCCCGATAGCCGTTGCACCCACCTTCCGATCCGTGACAGCGGAGGGCAGGACGGACCGTGCCGAGCATTACGGCTCATAAGTTTTTTATCCAATTCTGCCATTAACCTAGAATGGCGTGATCAGATGAACGGGTCAGAACTGGCATAACAGGCGCTGATTGGCCTGAGCTCAGATCCCAGAAATCCACGCATGTAAAAGCTTTGGATTAAATTTTTGTGATGACAGTACCAGAAAATGAATTTGTACAGCTGCTTGCATGCTCACTAACAACTGTAACTGTTCGCAGTCTGTTACTGTTCATAACCCGGGTGTTGTTCTGCATGACCATTGGCGTTTGATGCACCCTTAAACTGCGAGGTTGGAGTTGCACAACGTGATTCGTGCTCTTCCCAGCGTCTGCACGCCCTTGAACGTGTTTGCTGTTTTTTCAGGAGATAGGTCGGATGCTGGTGGAGTTGTTCGCCGACGTCTGTCCGCGGACTGCGGAGAACTTCCGGCAGTTCTGCACGGGCGAGTACCGCAGGGATGGCGTCCCCATGGGCTACAAGAACGCCAACTTCCATCGCGTCATTAAAGACTTTATGATACAGGGAGGAGACTTCATCAAGGTAAGCTTGTTGCTTCTTCGGCCTTCGTTCAGTTCATGTTGTGTACCTGTCCGTGATCTGACGACAGCGTTCAGTAATTATTATCGTACGGAGGCATTTGAGTTTTCAATCATTTTATTTTGTGTGTCAAACAAGCTATATGAACGCCAACGAGTCGTGTGCTGGCCCACCTACGATGGACCCCGTCATGCTTTCCAGGGTGACGGCACAGGCGTTTGCAGCATATACGGAGGCTCGGCTTTCGCCGATGAGAGCTTCAAATTTCGGCACGATGGTCCAGGCCTGCTCTCCATGGTAAGGCACATGTTAATTGTTAGCCTCTGTAATGATCCCGTTGTTTCTCGATGGCATATTGTTGGCTCTACTTTTGTGCCATAATGGGTGGTCATTTTGGTGAACTGGGTGCTCTGTGCAACCGGCAGTGCAAATCTGTCTTAACAGCATGTCGGTAAGCCGTACAGAACGTGCGGTCCGATATGCCGGTCCTGACTGGAAGGCCAAGGTCAGGTTCTTAAATGAGTATTAATTGAAATCCGACACAGTCGGATCTCGGAAACGCAGTGAAGAGTAGTTTTAATCGTCATTAAAATGGGCCAGAAATTGACATTTTTATGAATGATGGCTTTGGTCCTCCGATCGACACCCAGTTCACAAGTTGCCAGATTCGATGTTGCCAACGACGTTTCTGCGTGGGACACGCGTGTGCGCGCCGACCGCTTGCCCACCGGCGTGAGCGGAACGCTGACCGGCTGACGCGTTCCGTTCCAGGCCAACAGCGGCCGTGACAGCAACGGCTGTCAGTTCTTCATCACGTGTGCCAAGTGCGACTTCTTGGACGGCAAGCACGTGGTGTTCGGCCGCGTCATAGACGGGCTGCTGGTGATGCGCAAGATCGAGAACGTGCCAACCGGGCCCAACAACAAGCCCAAGATACCGGTGATCGTGGCGCAGTGTGGACAGATGTGACGGCAGCCCCGCAACCGTCCCCTCGCCATCCCCGCCCGCGTCGCCGTTCATCCATCTTGTCACTCGTAATACACAACATGCTCTCGCTCTCACGTGGACATGTTTCTCTTTTGCGTACACGAGCGGCGAACACAGCAATGCACCAGACTGTGGCGGGCGTGGCGCCCGAACGCTCTTAACACCAGACGCGGGCAGTCGGGCAGGGGCAGGGGCAGGCGCTGGGCTGGTGTCAGCGGCCGCGCCGACCCGGCCCGGCGCCAAACGTCTGCTGCCGACCGCCCTCCTGCTGCCACGGCTTCTTGCCGCGTCTCTGCAACACGGTGGCAACCGGTCAGAGCGGGCGCGAACACGCGGCTGGCGCACGCTGGGACGCATAACCGGCGTCAAGGTCAAGCCCACTCCGCGCATGGCCAGGCAGTCCTCCCGAATTACACACATTTGGCCACTGCACGTGCGTCATCACGCGGGCAAAAGCGAGATTGGTCTCTGCGGGGCGGAAGCGGGGAGTGTGACGGTCTGCAGAACGAGGCTGCAGTCCGGGCGCCGCATCCTGACCCGGAGTCCGACAATGGGGCAGCGCTAAAGGGCCGACCCGGGTCAAGTGGGGCAGGCTAGACGGCCAGCCCACTGCGGGTGCTGGACAATCTGTTTACAACGCGACAGCGCCTAATCTGTCCCAAGACGAAGTATGCTGATGCACATGTCTAGTACTGCTCGTAGAAGGATTTTAGTCGCTGCCGTTGTTTGCTGACATCGTGCACGCAAGTGAGGCCATATCGCTGCAGACGAGGTAGCTCATACGGGTCATAGAAGATTCACACCACAGGTGGTGCGACAAGTCGAATAGTCGCAGAGCAGCGTAAGAGCAGCAGAAACACCTGGTAGGCATCTACCGAATAATCTCAATACCTCAAACAGAAATGTCCGACGAACATCATTGCCCCACAAGGAAGTTGTGTCGATAACCAGAAATACTCCCAGGAGCACCATCCACCTTCCCAAAATCTCACTACCCCAAAAAGAGCCGTCATCGATGAACAGAAACACTTCATGCTTTCAGCAGCACCCTATATCCCCCGTCTGAAAGCAGGGCCCCACCGCCGGAGCGCCTGGCCACCCACTCACCCCCCTGCTGCCGCCACGCGCGCCGCCGCGCGCGCCGCCCCGGCCGCGACCCCGTTTGTCGGCGCGCGCCGTGCTGGCCGGACGGCCGAACGTGCTGTAGTCTACGCTCGAGTAGTCGAATGGGTCTGGCGGCGGCGGCGCCGGCTCTTTGGTCCACTGGCCGGCGGGGCGCGGCCGTTGCGCCGCCGGCGGGCCCGGCTCGGCCAACGGGATGGTGGGCGGCGCCACCTCCGCGCCGTCCGCGTCCCGCTTCCGCTTGTGCGCCTTGCGGCCCTTCTTCGCCTCCCGAATGGTGTCCTTCCGCTGGGGAGGGGGTGGGGCGTTGGTGAGAAGCGGACTGGGGCAACGTGCTCTTTCGGACGCGGTACGGCAGACGTCCGAGGGCGGACGAGAGACAACGGTCGCGAGAAAGGGCTTGGCTTCCACGATAGCGTCACATTCACAACTTGCGCTCAACTAAATCCGCACGTCACATTCGCGGTCATAGTTTCGACACCACACGCGCACGGGCGTACCCATAACGTCATCAAGTAAATACTCCTGGATGTGCAGACGCCAGGTCTCGTAACATAGGTCATTCGCATTTTCGGGCGAAAAGTTGGAGCGTTTTACGGGAGAGATTAAGACGACATAAACCGACATCTGTCGCTTCGTCGAGAACACAACCTCATCTGGTTGTCGAGAAGCTACGCAGCCGGTAAGGAAAATGGCGGGTCACAAAGACAGCAGCTGGGGTAGCCAGCGACTCGTGCCACGTTTCGGTCCGCCAGCCTGCGGACGATGATAGCACCAACTTCCATTTCCCGCACCAGCTGGACACCAACGGCAACGTTCGAGACTCCACACCACTCGACACACTGCACCAACTTTGACGCCCGACAGAAGCCTGGCCCAGCCGTCAGGGCGGTCCGCCACAGCAGGCCGCGGGCTCGGCCGGCCATCGGCTCGCGGCAGCCCGCACCGCGCGGGGAGCTCACCGAGACACGCAGCGTCTGCGGCGCCTTCGGCTCCGGCTGGTCCAGGGCCACCTTGACCGACGACTGGTCCGCCAGGCCGGGTAGCACGGCCTCGAGCGCCGGCGGCGGTGAGGCCCGCGGCGCCGGCCGCGGCGCGCGCTCCGGCGTCATCTCGGTCAGCTCGGCCATCCGACGCACCACCTAGCGGCCGGGGGCGGAGTTAGGCGGGCCGGCCGGCGAGCGGGTGGCCGCGCCACAGCAGCACGGGTGGCCGGGCCGGTATCACGCCGGTCGCCGGGTCAGTCCCGGTGCTGCGCTCACGGGTACAGCCGGGGGGTACAGCGCGGAGGGTCATGTCAGGCCAGCAGCGGACAATTCGGCTGGTTTGAGAGTACCTCAGCTGGGCCAGCCCAGCACGAAGCAAGGCCGAAGGGACCGCTACCGATCCAGCACCATCAGTCCTTCAGTAGCGCAGCCGGGCTGGCGGAGCACCGGCGCGGCTGGGTCACTTATGGCGCCGGCGCAGCTCACGTTCACTCGTCACGGAAACAGCTGCCGCCAAAACTGCTTCGAAAAATAAGACCTTTCCATCTCGCTCGGTCACGGCCATGGAACGCATATGCGCCGCTTGTTCCCCTCCCCTCTGCCCATCAGCCGAGCACGATCTGCCCGAGGAGAGCAGAGAGCGGGCGAGGGGCGTCTCCGGCCCCAAGGCGTACCTTCTCGTCACCAATGCTCTCCTTCATCATCAGGTAGCGGCGGTAGGGGCTGATCCAATCCTCTCCCACGGATGACGTCACCGCCCGCTGCCGAAGAGGAGCGGGTCAGCGCTGTGTGGCGGGCACAGCACTCTGCCGTCACGCTGTGCATGGCGCTCTGTAAGACTGCGGCGGGGTCCGAGATCTCAGCTGTGACCAGCGCTGAGACGACTCGCCTCAGCAGCAGCGTACAGTAGTGCATGCGTGGACACGGCATGGTCGAGATGTCGACATGGCATTAAACACCAAACAGCTCAGGAGGAAGCGTGTAGACGAGCGTTACACCAGTCCAGGTGCTCACTGACGGCTCACGGGCATCTTTAAATCCACGACACAGTTAAATTACATTCGTGCAAAAGCCACACAAATCACCACGCAGCGAAAAGCTCCACTGCTGCGTTTTCAAAGCCGCCTATGTCTCAGGGCCACCGCCCATACGAGCAGCGAACGTCACCGCACCGTCAGCTGCAGGCGCGCCTCTCAGCGTCGTACCTCCGGCGCGAACACGTCCAGATCCGGCGCCTCCTTGATCCTGGCTGACGGCGTCGGGACCTCCTCCGCCGCCGACGTGTCCAGGCTGTCGTCAGCCCCTGTCAAGGCAGGGCGAGCGGTCAGGGTCACCAGGCACGGCTCAAGGGGACGTGAGCTGACGGGCGGACCACAGGAAAGACGGGCCTACGTGGCACATGGTCATACGCGCGGACGGAGATGTGCTGACGGAGTAGGACATCCTATGACACAGACGCGCACAATGTCAGAGGCACGGTGTCTGACGCCCACACAACCATGCGCATTGACACGGACGTACCTACCTGGTGGGGGACGGCGACTGACTTAAGAATTAGCCGATGTTCTAAAACGGAACCAATAACTTTTCGCCAGATTCGGTACCCACGTTCCTGCGAACCTGGCGCGAGCACGCTCGGCGACAAGACACGGTCAGGCCGCTAAACACGCGGGCACGACGGCGCCGCCGGCCGCGACCCAGGGCGAGCCACACGAGGGCCTCCGCTGGTGACAACCGAGTACTGTACAGGCAAGGCCGAGCCTGGCCCGGGGGCCCCGTCTCCTCTCACAGCGCAGCCCGTCTACCCCAGAGCATCGACAGCCGAGCTCCGGGCCTCGGAGGACTCATCGCACCGTATCCTCACAGCCCACATCACTTCACACGCAATTTAATTTACTTCACACGGGCGATCGAACCGTAGAACGTTGTTCACTTGTACCCAAAACGCAGCGCCTACAGCCGTGAGCTCGGCGGGCATACCCGGACACAGCAGCATGGGGACGTTGACTCGGTCGCCGTCCGCCAGGTGGCTGGTGTCGTGCCGGTTGTGCAGCACGCTGTTGCACTCGTCACGTGACCGGGCCGGCGCCTCCACCAGGATGGCCGGGTCCGCCCGCGTCTCCTGTGACCAGAGGGGCGTCACGTGACCGAGCCGGCGCTCCCACCAGGTCACGTGTGTGGCCTGTGTTAGGACCCACGGAAACACGACCGTTACTATTCCCGTTTAATTCTCGGACGCCAATTGTAACCGGAAAATTAAATACCGCACTCGTTACCAGCCTGTGTTGATGACTGTGGTATTATTCCACGGCGTTGCTAATGTGAAGTCCACATACCGAGAAAAGTTCAGGATTCTTACATTCAACATATGCAGCATTCCATGGTGTACTTTTGCGTGGAGACACTGATTTCGCAAACGGGAATGCTCAACGGGCAGAACCGACATAAAGATGTCGTCCGAGCGAGTTTATATCGGGCCCCTTAAATAACTGGCCACGAGTAATCCCAAAAGGTTTCATTCCAGGAGGATCACAGCTCCTGACGACACCAGCTTTCTCCCGAGGAATCCCACTACAGAATCCTCCACTCGCTGGGCTAGGCGCCCAACGCCGCATACCAGCCCCGGGTGCTCACAACGGCTGCACCCCACCCCTCCACGTGGGGTGGACGCGGCCCTCGTCTTCCGCCCGCACCAGGTCCGCGCCGGGTACGTACGATGACATGCTGCAGACTGCGCGCGGTCAGCACCATCTTATGCACGGCGGCCAGGTTCTGGCGCAGCAGCGGCGGCACGGGGCTGCAGCAGGCCAGCAGACCCTGCATCTCGCGCGGCAGCAGCTCAGAGATCTGCAGCAGCATGTGGTTCGGCAGCACGTACCTGCCGGGCACGTGTGACGTCAGAGTGATGAGGTCACGAGTGCGCGGTATGCTGGCGCGCGTAGTAGAGATAACGGACGTGAAGGTCGAGGCGGAGTTTGACAGCTGCGTGGTGACATCGCCGGTAAAATGTCTAAATATTGTCCATGGACGGTCGGTAATGGCACATCACAAGACATAAAGGAAAATGCACAATGGTCCCGTCCCGTCCCGGTCCCGGAGGATGCAACATCACATCCGGTTAACATTTCAGCGTGACAGTACCACACGGCACGTCACGACGCGCATGTTGCGTGCGCCGCCGGCGGCGCAGCGTGCTGCTCGGGGTCTGCGCCAAGGCCACACTTCTTCTGTAGTGCGCCATCGGGGTGATCACCCGGCACTCACTGCGTGCTCTCGTCCTCGATGCGGGCAGTCTCGTCGCGCCACTTGTAGAGCTGCGCCAGTGCTGCCATCTGTTTATTGCTGAACGACTTTTTGCTTCGCCGGTACATCTCCACGTGGCTGTCGGCTCGCACCACCGGCTTCTGGTACTTCTGAAGACGGGGGATGAAGATACTGTGTCAAAAAAGTACGGGAGCTCAGTCCTCCAGCACGGATTGGGTCAGCAATTTTCATTATGAAGGAGGCAGTCGATTAAACAAGAGACTGCTTTGGTTCCCAGTCAACCAAATTCATAGAGCACTATCGAATGACTATTGGCATGCAGTGAGCAGTGCAATTCAAACGACGAAAACAATGCCAGACACGTGGGTTCAGGGCTAAACGTCACTCTAAACAAACCGTACACTTTTCCACGAAGGCGCCCACCACCTGGTGCACACCCCGGTCCTGGCGAGCACCACAGCCTGGTGCAGCGCAGAGCACGGCACCACCGTCCGCAGGCCCCACCTTCAGACAGACGAGCGTGCTGTTGGTGTACACGCTCCGAATGAGGTTCTTCTGCTCGTTGCCCTTCTCCAGCAGGAGGTTGCGCATGCGGTCGTAGATGTACAGCAGGTAGTGCGTGTCCTCCTGAGCGTAGCGCACCATGTTCTCGGGCAGCGGCCTGGCGACGGGGTGGGGCAAGTTCAGCGCGACCCAAGACGCGGCTATCGCCTCCGGTGGTTATTGTTGCGAACTTCACTTGGAGAGCGTTTGTGGGAACTGACTAGCTATGAAGCTGCCCTTTACAGCAAAGTAGTTTTGAAGGGACTACTTTGAATTACAAGCACAAATATGACGCAAGTTGCGAACGAATAACAATCTCAGGCATGGATGTATTGCCCGAATTGTTAGCGCATAGTGGTGCCGATAGTGTAGTGGTTAATGCGTCTGCGTTAATCACTGCGCGTCTGGGAGACCGGAGCTACGGGGTTCGATTCACCGTGGTGCCCGCTCTTCCTGCACGGGTGGGAGGCAAGCGACACCATATAGCCTCAGCAGCTAAGTGCGCGGTTGAGTTGAAGACGACGACGAGTCATGTGCACCTCCGGCTCCCACGTGGGACCCGGGTTCAAATCCCGGTAGCGTCATAGCCCGGAGCGCCAACATGGGCGCTACAGTCGCCGGCACTCCATAAAATGGCGCACAACACGGCGACTCGCGTTCCCGTAAAACACAACTTCAATTGAGCGGGCTGAAGGCCACAGAAGGTGGCAAAGCACCTCGGCTTAGCAGTGTTCCAATATTCGGCCACTTGGGTGGCAAGGATGTCGATATTTTTCATGCTTTAAAACCCCCGTTTTGGTCTCATGCCATGATCCCTCCCCCTGCTCGAAATCGGCCAATCAGCATCGAACCGGGCGGCTGTCAAACCAGCATCTATGTGCCTCAGGCTTGAAAAATAAACTGAGTAGGTCAGATGTCCGAGTCGGGGTCAAAGGGTAACGGATTAGTGCCAACGAATTGCATGCGAGGTCCGCCGAAGAGACATGATTCTAGTAGCATGAATTTATGTCTACATCCTGCATACCCTACTGGATGAAATTTGGAACGCTGCGGATTAGTAGAAATGGCTGAGCCCCACCCAGGCTGTCGGAGCCCAGGTCCGGCATCTGCATGCAGTGAGTACGAGCACAGGCGCAGCCGAGAGGGAGCGGGACGTAAAAGCTGGGGAGGTGGATGATTGCCGCGGCTCTCGGGAGACCAGTGAGGATGACCCCCCTCTGATGACCATTCACCAGCACGGTGACGGCCCGCCTTACGGGGCCCGCTGACCAGCTGAACAGGCCCCGAGCACGCCGGCCAGCCGCGGCCGTTCGCGTGCAGCTGCCTGCGGGGTGACTGGGGCACCGACCCTTCATCCCACCTCACTGTTCCAAAAATCCCATCCACCGGCCGATAAGCCTGAGGTTCCTAGATGCTCCGATGACCGTCGCCCGGCTCGGTCCTCATTGGTCGATCTTGAGTAAGAGGCGGAGCAACAGGCAGTGAACCCCCTCCCCCTCCCCGCGCTGTTGTGGGCCCCCCCACAACGTCACCGGTCCCACCCAATCGGCCGAGCATCGCCGCAGCGCCTCACCTGATCCGCCAGTCGGCCAGCTGGAACCGCTTGTCGGCGGTCACGTTGCAGAAGTGCTGCAGCAGGTAGGCGAGCGAGAGGCGCGGGAAGGCCAGCACCTTGCAGGCCTGGTGCGTGTCGAACAGGTGCACCAGGTACAGACCGCAGTCGCGCTGCAGCCACTCCACGTCCGAGTCGGCGCCGTGGAACACCTGCACGGCCGCGCCGGCGGTCAAAAATGGGATAATCTTATAACCATTAAAATAATAATTCAATAATTTCGAATGATTTCATTTCATAAGTGTGATGTCTCCGGAACCCACAACCGAAATCTTCGAGTCTCGCACTCAGTTGAACTGATTATGCATATGTTCAGAATGCAAACTGCAACTGAAAAAACTGCAAAAAAGCAATAACTGCATTTGCAAAAACTGCGATTGCAAAAACTGCAAAACTGCAAAAAAGCTGTACAACGAAGCGAAGTTTGGGGAAGCGAAGTGAAAAACCAACAAACTGATACTGGGAAGCAATTCTGCCGCACCTCTGCCAGACAAAAACCACGGCACGACGCCCGACCGACCTTGACGATGTTGGGATTGGCGAACACCTCGTTGAGCGGCTGCAGCTGTCCTCGGAGCTGGAGCGCGTCCACGATGTAGTCGCGCGTGCGCGTCGAAATCTGGATGAGGCACGTCAGGCCCAGGTAGCTGCGGTAGCTGTGGTGCTGCGAAAGTCGGCAACGGTCAGTGCGGCCCGACGGCGCTGGCAGCCCACCTACAACACCGCCAAAGGCACCTACAACAGGGCTCACCGCGCCGTTTGGACAGCGCACTGGCCACGGGGGAGTACGGGGGTAACTGCGACAACAGCAAGTGAATGAGCTGTGACTCCTTCAGCTTTGGGGCAAAGAAAGCTGATGGCTGGACCTCGGCTTAAATCGTGCCGAGGTCGTCTCTCATCTCACGCACTGAGTTCACGCTCGCAGTCCGAACAGACGCTCCGGTCACACGCCACTTCCGCATCAGTTCTGCTTCGAAGCATTGCGACAGAAAGCACGCACAGACAACCTGAACATTCCTACCATCCGGCTAACATGCCCCATGCACGGCACCCCACCCCTATACTGCTGCCGCGCGCGCCACACGCCCTGTTAAGTCACGGCGGCAGTGTCGGCGCCCCGCCCCGCCCTGGCCGCGAGTCCTACCTCCAGGTCGACGGCGACCTCGCTCTCCCTGCTGAGCTCCTTCACCAGCTGCTCGAGGCCGGCCGGACTCGTCACCATGGTGACGGGCGCCTGGTCGGCCGGCGACGGCGGCGTCGGCTCAGAGGCGGGGCGCAGCGCCCACTCCGGCGGCTGGAAACGCTCCAGCTCGAACTCGTACGGGTGCGAGAAGCTGGGGAGGCGTCGTGGCGTGTGAGACAGGGCAGGGAGGCGTCTGCTGTTCGCCAGGTGATAAGATCTGTCCGCGCCCCGTGGACCACAGCAGCAAAATGTGCGTCAAGTTAAGATGGACCAGCCATGAAGCATCTAGGCACCTTCAGCAGTGGCAGTCAGTGCTGTCCTGTCAATTTCGCCACATGACATAATGATCTCTCCAGGCCCCTCATCTCACCTCTTCTCGCTCCACGTTTCCGTACTAATTCGTCTCCCCGCTCCGCCCTCCACCCTCCCCTTCCCATCCATCTCACCTCTACAGTCCCTTGTCTCACCTCTCCAGCTCCCCGTCTCACCTCTCCAGCCCCTTGTCTCACCTCTCCAGGCCCTCGTCTCACCTCTCCAGCCCTCGTGTCACCTCTCCAGCCCCTCGTCTCAACTCTCCAGCTCCCTGTCTCACCTCTCCAGCTCCCAGTCTCACTTCTCCAGCCCCTCGTCTCACCTCTCCAGCCCTCGTCTCACCTCCTCCAGCCCTTAGGTCTCACCTCTCCAGCCCCTCGTCTCACCTCTCCAGCTCCCCCGTCTCACCTCTCCAGCCCCTTGTCTCACCTCTCCAGCCCCTCGTCTCACCCTCTCCAACCCCTCGTCTCACCTCTCCAGCCCCTCGTCCTCACCTCTCCAGCTCCCCGTCTCACCTCTCCAGCCCCTTGTCTCACCTCTCCAGGCCCTCTCGTCTCACCTCTCCAGCCCCTTGTCTCACCTCTCCAACCTCTCCAGCCCCTCGTCTCACCTCTCCAGCCCCCGTCTCACCTCTCCAGCCCCTCGTCTCACCTCTCCAGCCCCTCGTCTCACCTCTCCAGCTCCCCGTCTCACCTCTCCAGCCCCTTGTCTCACCTCTCCAGGCCCTCGTCTCAGCTCTCCAGCCCCTCGTCTCACCTCTCCAACCCCTCGTCTCACCTCTCCAGGCACTCGTCTCACCCTCCAGCCGCTCGTCTCACCTCTCCAAGCCCTGGTCGTCCGTCTCGAGCAGCACGGCCAGCGGCCGCAGCGCATGTGGCTTATCCGTGATGATCGGCACGAACGCCGCGGTCGTGTTGTCGACGCGCTGCTTGAAGCTCAGCTGCGGCCGCTCGATGTTGTTCGCCGTCATGAGGCGGATTGTTTGCGAGGGCGACCGCGCCACCGTCTGCCGCGACACAGGGCCCGTCAGGCGTACGATGGGGCGAGGCGAAAGTAATGAGAGCGAGGGCGACCGCGCCACCGCCTGCCGCGACACGGCCCGTCAGGCGTACGATGGGGCGGGGCGAAAGTAACGAAAGCGAGGGCGACCGCGCCACCGTCTGCCGCGACACAGGGCCCGTCAGGCGTACGATGGGCGGGGCGAGAGTGACGGAGGCTAAGAAGACGAATGGGGGAGTGGATGGCAGGCGATAATGCGATAAGCAAGGAAGACGCAGGATAAGATGCGGCAGACCAAACTGAAGGCGCGCGTTTGACTAACGAGAACGTGTCGCAAGCGGCAGCGGCGTAAGAACACAGTAACCAGGTGTCAGTACGCCAGACAAGGTAAGTGTCACAAGAAACAGTACCGTCCGGCAGCATCAGACCGGGCGCAGTGCAAGAGGGCACGCCAGACAACGACAGGTCAATGCTGGACGTGTCAGCCGTGTCGCCGACTGAGCCGGCTGGCGCCGCACTGACCCGGTTAGTGGTGACGTTCCAGCGGCCGCTAATCGGACCGTCGGTGCTGGCGCTGACCGTCTGCACCACCGGATCCAGCCGTTTCTTCATGCCGGCCGCCTCGTCCAGGTCACCGTTCTGCAAAGTACGCGACGGCGCGTAAGCGCGGGGGCCCGAGCGGCCGCTGCCGCTGCCGCTACTGGCGGCGGACGTCGGGCCCGGCGGGCGGTAGGCCGTGCGGATGGTAGGTGTCGCGCTACACGCCGACATGTGCTCAATGTTTACAGGAGAGCTGGCGAGTGGGTCCGCGTTCACTGGATGTATTAGAGAGATGGGGCAGGGCCAGAGACGGACATCACACAGTGGTACGGCAGCAAACTCAATCAAACATCGCGAATCCGGTGAAAGGAGAGCGAGACAGACATAAGCCTGCATGGAAACTGGTCAGCATATAACCTATGCAAATCACGCAAAACATTGCTCACAATTTTTTCCAGCAGCTGGTCATTGGCTTCCACGATCAGGTCAAACTTCTCATCCAGGTCACGACTGGAGAGGGCCCCTTGAATCTTGTACTTGCTCAAGACCCTT